TTCAGAGGAAATACTTTCACTTCTATGAATTTGTTATGGCTATTATTCAAACACTCTCACTCTGCTCACTTAAGTTTATCCTTTGGATTTTGTGAATTATTTCATATTGATCACTGTGGATTGAGTGATCTTTGCTTTTCTCAGGAGGGCCTATTACAGTGAAATTCAGAATCCAGAGGAAAGCTGTGGAGAAGGCTGCAGATGTGAACAAATTGTCTCCCTCTAGTGTCCTCTCCTTTCTGCTTCTTCTTTGATGAGCTAAAGCACCTCTCAGACTGCAGGGAGAGAGCCAGACCGAAACATGCATAATTGACAGTCCTATTTCAGGAATTAGCCACCCACCAAACTGCAGTCTACCTGCTCTTTCATCTTGCCTAGAATAACTTAGCATTTTAGAAAAGTCTACTTCAGCCACAGAGGATTGTTTATTTGTAGATTGGTGTATTTAATAAATAAAAAATTCTGTTCTCATGATTGATTTTGTGCATTTTCCAAAGGGTGGTTGAAGAAAAACATCAACAGATAATATGTGAGAATTACTGGGAATGCGCACAGTTGTCACCACAAAGAGAAACTGTTTGAAGTGAGATCAGGAGGAAGGATGTTCTGGTGATGAGTGATTTCTCTCCCCCATTATGCCTTCTGTAACTACGCAGATGAGTTAATTAAGCTGTGCCAGAGGCTACGCACTAGCATTCCAGGTAGATGGGCCACTGTGATATTCAGACATCCACATGATTAAAAACTGAAACTCTAATATTGACTTTTGAAATATCCAAAATGCATAAGGCTCCTTGATACTTGCAAATTATCCATGCAAATTTAAACTAAATGCAGTACTCCCTTGTACCAAGTGCCAAAAAGCACCTCAAGGTACCACAAAATAGCTTGTAGTTCCCCAAAAGTTCACAGATTGTTCCTCAGAGTTTTACAAAATCCCCACATACTGCATGAAAAAAGGATCCAACAGTTTTCCAGAATGAATGATATTACACATATTTCTGTTTTAGCAAGCTAGACCAAGCAAGTTGATTTGCATTTTTGACCTCAGTATTAACAGACCATTTGAATGTGGGGGCTTCTTAGACCAATCAGGCTCCAACACAAGTGGATGATGACGACATCATTTACCTGCTCCACTGGTCTGGGAGATAAGCTCATGCCCCTGCTGCTCCCTGGAATGTTCCGGCTGCTGTTTGTACGACTGCAGAGAGAGCTGTGTGTTACAGATGATGACGAGTGGCATTAAAGCACCACGAGAAGCCATCCTATCACCTGTACAGTCAGCAGAGGGGAGAAAGATGTGGATGTTGTTGGCCTTATGGAGAGCAGTATACCCCTTCTCATACAGAGACTGAATATGAAACTGTCCCAGTCATGTAGGTTTTGCGTTGGTTGAACAAGTTAAATTCAACATTGTTTCTAATATGAGCATACTTTCGAGCTTGCTGTCCCCAAATCTTTTCCCCCTCTCTCTCTCTCAAAATACATTAAAGCCCATTTTGTTGGAATCCTCCCCAGGACAGCTGTGCACCGTGCTCCCTGGCTTATCATGCAAATGTGTAGCACACAGTCACGATTTCCTCTTTATAACAGTTTTAAGACAGAACAGTTTTTAACACTCATGCATGTATGCAGCTACATTTGTTGCTGTTCCACGGACAAAAACAGTACACAGTAAACCTTTGGATTAGTAGCCTGAAGAACTCGTACACCCAGTTTTATTAACTTTCTCTGAGTTTGTTTATATGAGTGCATATGTTATGCCTCAGAGGCTAAAAATGGTGCAGCAAGCAGGCCTCTCTGGACACACCAGCTAAGTGGTGCTTTCTGTCTCCTGGCTCATTCTTTGTTTGTTTTTTTTTACCAGCCTTTTATCTCCTTTCCTTTTTACTTTATTTCTTTCCCAAACCGGCTGCCACCATATTTTCTCTCAGTTGCCAACCACTTCCTATTCTGCAACCACTGACCTTAACATTGACCTTGCCTTGTCTGTGCCATTGAGACAAGAGCGAGAGATACCATATCCTCAGCTTCCTCCCACTATGTTGCAGGGTAGAATTTTGCCTGTCTCATCAGTCTTACAACTGCTAGAGTATGCCTTGTTATTTCTTCCAGATTCCTACTTCCAGATTGTTTTGCTTTTCAGCCACTCAGTGACCAGACTGGAAAACATAGCTCTTGGCTCAAAAAGATGGTGAGCCTTGGCATAAAGACCAAAGCTGTCAATACAGATTAGGTTTATCAGATAAACTTTATCTGCATTTGAGCATCCTTTGGTTGGGTACCAGCCTAATTCTGGGTCACAATTGATATTGTGACACAGGCTCTAAGGAGGTTGAAACTGGCAGCCAGTATTTTATCCGTAAGCGTGCTGCAGTTGTCTTGCCACTAGGCATGCATCAGTATGTCTGCAAGCTTTGGTCTATCATGATGGTCCACGATAATGGCCATTACATTATGTGTACAATAGGTCTGTAGGCTGCTGGTTATCCACAGTAATTGTTGTGATTTTCTCATGTCTGTGAAAGGTTGCCCTTGAGTGCCATGAGGAGCTCTCCTTCATCTTTTCCTCTCTGTCTGTTTGTTATTTTCTGTTTGAGTGTGACATTTTGGGAGAAGAATATCATTCACATTGTTCAAAGAAAATTCCAAAGATCTTGACACAAATGTGTCTGCTCACAGTTCTTAGATGCATTTTTATTCCATATCTGAAAATTAGCTGCGTGTTTGAATTACCAAGCCCTGTCATTGCAGTAAACAACATTTTGCTCCATAAGGATTTTACTTTTTTGTGTATTCTAAACAGTAGTGAGATCCTTTTTATTTCTCGAGATGTCCTTGAGAATAATCTCCCTCAGGGGCATGTTGTGTCCTGGTGAAGATCACAATCTCTCTGAGAATTGTCTCTGACTATAGTGTTTTGGTATAAACATTAATTTCCATCCCACCACCACAAGAGGGCACTTTGAGCACATGTAAGAGTAGCTGATGTCATTTGTGTTCATGTGCCTTTGTCTACTGAGTACCCACGGAGGTGGTTCAAAAGTCTCTTCCTTTTAGGAGCAGTGAGTCTAAAGTCACCCACGGGTTCTCCTACAGTGGCCTTCTAGCCTCTCTTACTGAACGGAAAGACTGTATGACTTCTGCAGGCTGCTGTAAGGGGAATGTTGGGCTTTCCTGGACTCTCTGTTATTGTATACAGTCTCAGAAAAGAAGGTTCAATTCCAAACCAGCTCAAAGAACATGTTAGCTTGGCGGTGAGCCAGCTTTGTAAGCAGTGCAAAAACAGAAGAAAATTTACTTTTTCAGCAATGATACATACATACACACTGTATAAAAAATAAAAAATAAAAACCCCATGATTGCCTGCATTAAGATTGTATAAAAATGTGTGTGATATACCGTGTTGATATATATATATATATACCAATTTCATATATATGGTGAGTCTTCTTGCGTGTGGCTGAAAGAAAGAAGGCAGCACACTCAAAATAGGGCCGGGTGGAGAGATGAAGAGGGGAGGCATGGCAGCAGTAAATGATGCTAGCCTTCTACACCTTGTCAGTTATTAGGAGAAGCCAGAAGAGAGATCTGACATTACTTTGTGTTGTCTACAGAGAAAATAATTGGCAAGCAGGCCCTGGCTGGCACTGGCACCTGCAGCACTTGTTTTAAAAGTTCTGCAAGGGGAGGCAGAAAGATAAAAACATATATATCATGTATCTGTTATGGAGATGAATCTCCTTGAGTTTTAGAATGTATGAAAGCTGCAATAGTTCATTGGTTGTGTTGTTTATTCTAAACTTCACAGTTAAAAACAATGTAAACAAAACTTACTTATAATTCTCCACCCTGTCTTCCTTTCTCTGTGGCAAACTTCAGAATTCAGAACAAGAATCTGTTACTTCATCCTCCCTTTGTCTTTTTATGTCTCATAAACTAGGTCTACAGTGGAAACCTCTCTGGCTTGTTGGTCAATAGTACTTTATACTGGAAGAAATATATCCATTTAGGGGACTCAATAATGATTATTTTTTGTTAATAAGTTATTAAGTAAAGATACTGGTTGATGAGAAAGTTAGACTTGAGGGGAGAAATGAAAACCATGTTAACGCTCTTTAAATCTTGAATGGTGCTTAAATAAACAGCACACCAACCACAGGTTTCTTTCTGTTTTGGCTTCTGTTGCTGAGCTATAAATACACAGGATGTATTCAGCAGGTGTTTGAGTTTTCAGTATGAAGGCTGGTGTAGATAAAGTGATCTGTTCATTTTGTTCACTCTTTCTTACTTTTTTTTATCTTGTATTACTCTTTGTCAAATCATTTCACTACATTGTCTGATTGTCATCAACCAAATAACTAGTTATCTGTTTATCCAGTTGTAGTAGTATTTTCTATTCTAAGTGTGTATTTTCATTTTGATTTCATTCCTTTTATGGCTAGCTGTCCAGGTATGATCCATGGCCCAACCAACATTACTTCAGATGTTCATCATTAAAAGTGTGGGTGGTGACAGTGACTCCATGTTGCTCTTCTAGGCTGCGCCTAACTGAACCACAGGGTCACCTGTTCACCAGGCTCACACCTCCCTGTGCCACACAGTGCCTGGAGGGAGCCCTGGTTTCTGTGTCACAGATGTTCCTGCATGTGCATTTTCTCTCTTCTCTTTGGGACAATGATCAAATATAGAGCATGTGCTTCTGGTTTAGTCTCTCTTCCACAATGTATTTCTGCACATAGTAGATAATTTTTCACCAATCTTTGATTTTAAACGTAGACATGATATTCCAGAGTGATTGCTCAGTGACCAACAGATAAGACTGTGTGTTTGTTCTGGGCATTTTCCAGGTGTGATAAATTAAGAATATGACTGGAGTAAGTGCTTTTACGCTTAGTGAACCTTCCCTCAATAAATATACTTAAAAACAAATCTATGCTTGCTAATAAAATCTGAATAAGTCACTGTTTAATGAGTTTGATTTCTATAACCTTGTTTATTTTTAACTTCAGTCCCCATGAGGGTTGACATCCATGTCAAAGACTCACGGAATATGTTGAGTTTGTCTGCCCTCTCCCCTGAGACATAATTTTCAAGAACAGTTTGAAATGAAAAAACATTGATCTTCCAGTGTAAAATGAAGAAAAATGTGGTGTAAAAAGAAAGATCATTAAAAGGTGTAGATAACTCAGCACGTTTTATTCAACTTCACAGAAAGTGCTTCCCTGGCACTATATTCTTCTTAAGTTTATCAAATGCAACTTGCTGAGATGCATTTCCTTCTATCTGGCATTAGGTAGGTATTTCTAAAATGTAAAAACCTGAAGGCTGGCACATCACTGTTATTTACGCTTAATGCAATCAAGATTGGAATATCTTAACATTTCAAAAAAAAATCTGTCTGTGCTTTAATGCTCTGCGGCAATACAGTAGTAGGTTAGCATTCCTGGAACGTTCAATCACCATGCAGATCATTTTCACGAGCGCCACTGAATCATGAAGGACACTTAAGTCTGAGATGTGATCAAAATACAGAAGCAGTGCTCGCCACTCAGAGTTTGTTAAAGATAGTGACGCAACACTGTCCATTTGTTTTCCCCCCTCTCTGCTGCTCCCTGTTATGTACATGTCATGACCGGTTTCTTAGATACACCCTGTCCCCAAAACAGATTGTTCCTCTGGTGAGTGATGTGGTTTGTTACATAAAACAAGCAGGCAGGCATCAAGGACACCTATAGGCATGAGAGTCAAAATATCTTTGATTTACATCATACATATTTGAAAGCTAATGCCACCAATATAAAATAAAAAGATCTGAGCACACCATGACTAAGTGGACATCTGTCCAATCCAGCCCATAGTTTAGGAAAATTTGAAAGAATAAAAATCAAAGACACACAATAATTTGTAGGTCATAATATGTACTGGCCAGCACCTCAGTTAGTAGTTGCAGATGAGCACCAGGTTACATTCAGTTCCATAATAACCTGAATGTACAGTGCCACCATGTGCTTAGCTATATTCATTACAATGTATTTTTTTATTTTTTATTTTAATCAGTGACTGCGTTCAAGTGGAGGCTTGTTAAAAGTGTTATTAGAATAGGAAATGCATTGTTTTTTGACCAGTTATCATAAATGTAGCTCCATTCCATACTCAGAACAGTAGGGATTATGAAAGTTGTCATAAAGCCTTAGTGTTGTAAATGGCCTTTTTCAAGAGAAAGCCGGTAATACGCACAACAGTTAAACAAAAGTTTCCTACAGCACGTGTGCTGCATTTGTTTGTGCTGTAAATTCATATGCAGACTTAACACTAAGCTGTCAGTGTTTTTCGTTTGTCTTTCAGAGGGCTTGGTGCAGAATGAGAGACAGAAGCCCCAGGCTGTGCAGGAAAAGGAGCAAGTAGCAGGTAGCAAGAGCTGGGCTGCTGTTGCTGATGCCATTAGGAAGGGACTGATTCTGCCTCCTGACACTCCTGGTACGAAGAGTGGTTGTTTTCTTTTTTTGGATGGAGGGGCTCTCTGTTGTTAAGAACCGGTCCGTGGCCAGCGTCGCGTCAGCCCTGATTGGAGTTTCAGTAATGAAGTCTGTGTCGGTGGTGTGGAAGGAGTGAGTGGGTGAGGCTTCCTCTGTGCCAGAGGTGAGATGGGAATTAGTGTGGAGCATGTACTCTGCGGCAGAAAGGGGATTAATAGGTAGGTGTGTGCCTGTGCTTCTGGGTGGCAGCGTGGAGATGCCGATGGGTGTGGCTGTGAAGGGGTGGTGCTGTGTGGTGTCTTTGGGGGTGTGTGAGGTGCTTAACAGAGCAGAAACAGACAAGTACCACCACCCGGTGACACTGGCCTCAGAGGGCACGGAGCTCATGTCCTGGGCACTCGCTGCCAGGGGGGGCAGGTTATAGGAGGCAAAGTGCCACCCTCCGGTCCTGCCAGGGCGCACCCCTCCACAGACAGGCTGGGTGTGGCAGGGGCAGCCAAGGACGCGGGCAGGGGTATGCTGAGTCCAGGAGAGTAAGTAGGTGATGTCTGCATAAAGGTGACAGGCCCAAGGGTTGTCTCCCAGAGTCACGACTCTAAGTGATGTCATCTTGTCCAGCACTCCATAGGGCAGCATGGAAAAGCGGTTAGCATGTAGATATAAGTGAGTTAGTCTGAGGAGCCGGTCCAGAGAGCCCGGCAGCACCTTCACAAGCAAGTTGTGGGACAGGTCAATAGTCTCCAGGTGTGCAGGCATGTTGGTGGGCAAAGTCCAGAAGTGATTGTGGCTTAGGTTGAGCGTGCACAGATTGGTCAGTGTATTGTTGATGAAGATGGCGCGCTCCAGCTTGTTGTTGGAGAGGTCAAGCATTCGCAGATTCCACTGGTAGACCGTATCGTTCTTGTCGAGAAACTGGAGGCGGTTGCAGGCGGCGTAAAGGTGCCACAGGGAGCGTGGTAATCCGGTGGGCAGGTGGCTCAGCCGGTTGTGAGACAAATCAAGGAAGCGGAGGTGGGTGTATGCGGTGAGCTGGCTGTCCAGGTTGTGAAATCGGTTGTGGGACAAGTTGAGGGAGCGCATGTTGTGCTGCAGGCCCTCAGGCAACTGTCTCAGACCCCTCCCGGAGCAGTCTACCTCCCTGTGGCTATGGCTGCAGGAGCACATGGAGGGGCACACGGCTAGGACATGCAACCCCAGCAACAACACAAGCAGGAGCTCCAGGAGGGCCTCATTAAGGGAGAACTTCAGCATGGCATGCCTGCTAAAAGAAAGAGAGGGACACAGGAATGTCAGAGATTGTCTTACACAGCATTCTCCTTACCTTCAGGAGGCACACTGTAATGCCTGCAGTGAACTTGGATAGTCAAAACAGGGAACATATATTTGCTATCTGTAGGAAAAGGATGGTAACTGCAGAGGGATGTGCTGAACAAAACTAGTTTCATAAATTCTTTAAAGCTCCACCCTCTTCCAGGATCTCTCTCTCTCTCTGTGTCTCCCTTTACTGTAAATATGCACACAGGATGCTCAAGGTTTACTGCACATCACTGCATTGCTTGCAGATACACACATTCATATCACCTGCCAAACCTACTCCCCTAACCATGCAGGAATGTTTTCAGGGATGCTGTAGCAGTGTCCTATCGAGAAATGCTCATACTGCGTATATGCACCATCAGTAGAGGGTTGTGATGTGTCCTTTTCTATAACTGATAAACATTGGATCTGATCTGTAAGAGGACATTTCTAGAAGTCTAGTAGTCTATTCAAGAATATCATTCATCACAAAGGATGACAAATCCATGTAGTCATTTTCCCTGGCAACAGTTCGCGTGTTCAGTCATCAGTGGTTGTCAGAGCAGACAGTCCCATGCTCTCAGAGGAGGAGAACTAGCTCAATACATGGGTTTTATTAATGACTCCACAGAGAGCTCATGCATCAGCTGGTGCAAAGGCAGGCAAAGACACAGCCAGGAACTCTACACTGCAGTATGTGTGAGCCAGGGTGTGTCAAAACGTGTGTGTAAAAAGTGTGAGAGTCTTTAAATTTTGTCCATAACTCACCTTCTCATCTTATCATTCCAGTCTCTTTTCTCTGCTCCTTTTTGCTGTCCAGCCTCTCTTCCCTCTCCTATCCTGCTTTCAGGCTCGGGACCAGCTGCTGCTCTTTTGAAGGTGAATTTTTATCCTATGCCTGAATTTCCCTCATAGAGTTTGACCCTTGCTCACTTGTCCAGTGCAGGTTTTTGAGGCTGCCCTCACTGCCTTGCAGTATGGTCCTTTTGTCCTCTCTCCTCTTATATGGATCTTTTGGGTTAGCGCGATCAGGCACTGCAGGCTCTGGATTTACTCAGTGCAGTGGAAGTGAGCGGGGAGAGGTGGGGTGTTGGTGGGGGGAAGTATTAGGAGGAGGGTAAGGAGAAATGGAACGCATAACGGAGGGGTCCCTGCACACAAGGCTGCTACAAAGGAAATCCCTTATCTGGCAGCTTTCAGGATTTGCTTCTACATTTGAAGTGGCAACTTTTGTTGTGGTTAGATTAATTGGCTGATTTCTGTACTGTTTGTACTCAAAATAAATTAGACTGTTATCAGATATCCCCTAAATCAATATTATCCCTCTTTAAAGTATCCCTTTAGAAAGTAATACTGTGCTGTAATTGGTTGCTATTTACCCTGTGTAAACTTAGACACTCCCACAAAAACCTTCAAGATTTATTGCAGAGGACTCCTGTCCGCTGCAGCTTCCTGCCATCAGCAATACAGGCAACTCTCTATTCTTGCACTGCAATGCTGTACTTCTATCACACATAATTGCATACCTTGGATTCTAAGGAACAGTTTAACTGCGATACAGATGGTATAGTACAATGCAAACCGTAGATATCTGATTTATTCAAACACAGCAGTTCGGAGTGCTTTTGTATTTGTTTGGTACTTTGGTCTTTGCTCAGTTGTCGTGTAAACTTTAGTACCTCTTTTGCTATGCTTTTGTTACATCTTCACCCAACTCTCTCTGTAACTTTCACTGCCTCTCTATACATCCAGTAGCCCATCTGCACTGAGATCGAAACCCATGTCTCTTGTCAACAAGCCTCAGTGTCAAACCATCACTTCCACTGTTGGTCACCGTAAAACATGCTACCCAGTCAATTTAAGCTGTGAAACCACATAGCAGCAGAGAAAAAAAAAATCATCCAAATCTCTCATATCCAAGTTCTGCCTTTTTCACTTGGAATGCCTGGTGTATAATACAGAAATAAGTTCCTGCCTGAGAAATATTTCACATTTACTTTCACTGAAGATTGCTTTTACTGCACCCTGTCTCTAAATCTGCAACATCACCCAGCGCTACCGCAACTCAGCGTGTTTGCATCTCCTTGCTATTAGAGTTGAGCAGCTGGAGTTGAAGCGGAGGCTGCATTGAGAAGGGACAAGCTATTCAGACTTTTAATGAAAGGTGCACATCCATCATGACGTCACAAGTAAACAGATGAACAAATATCTGCACAAGACGTCGGAAACAAGTGTATATTGGTTTTTTGAAAAGTTTTTTGTGTGGCTTTGTAAGCTCGGAGGTGAAAAAGAATGTTCTTTCTTGGTTGAGCGGCACTGCCGGGAAGAGGCACATTCTCTGCTTGCTAATCAAGCACACACACACACACACACACACACACACACACACACACACACACACACACACACACACACACACACACACACACACACAAGATTTCATTAGGAAATGGCTTCCTGCAATAATAATGCAAAAGTGTATTTTTATATTTATATATTTTAATATTCAAAATACACAAATAACAGAGAAATACAACCAATTGTATTATATAACCAAAAAAATGAAAGAAAGAAAAGAAACGCTCAGTGCTAAGTTTGAGAGACTTGGCACACATAGTTGTTACTGACTGTAGAGAAAAAGCTGCTGAAAAAAGTATCCTCTATTTAAAGTAAGGTGGTTGTAAAGATATAAGGAAGTGAATGCAGTTGCTTAGGAAACTCTTTGGCTTCACACACACACACAACTCTAGACCACATCCTTTGGTTCCTCTGTGCCCTGAGAGGAGGGAGCTGCCACAGCTTTAGTAGCCTGGGCCTCCTCTTGTGGTTTTGAGGAGGATGAATTTTCAGCAACGGTTTCAGGTGTGGTTGAAGCTTCCTCATTGTTGGCTCCCTCCTCCTCCTTCTTCTCCTCTCCCATTTGTCCATCCTTGTTTACAATCCCTCCTTCTTCCTTGGTGGTGCCATTTCCCACCTCCTCCTGTGTTTGAACAACGTCAGTCATTAACATGTTGGTCTCTTTGGCGTCCGTCTCTGACTTGCTTTTGTCCGTCTTGGCATTTTCTATCAAGGGTTCAGAGTAGCAGATCAGGTCAGCGTTGCTGCTCAGCGCCTTGATGCGTCTGCTCAACTGACACACCTTCCACGCCAGCAACAAAGTAGAAACTAGCAGAATGGCACAAAATACGATCAGTCCGCCAGAGACAATCAATATTGGATGACATTCCTTCCTGAAAATCTTATTGGCACTTATGGTGGTGTGCAGCAGGCCAGGTGTGGTGTGCAGCAGGCTAGATGTGGTGGTGCTCCTAGTGGAGAATTGGGAGACTTTTGTTGTTAACCCAGTGGTTATCAGGTTGCCGGTGCTAGACATGACACTGGCAGTGGTGGATGTAACTTCAGAAGTTGAAACAGTGGCAGAGTCGGAATTATTTGTAGGAGGTGCTGTGATGCTTTTAGCTCCACACAATAGTGCACCCAGGATTTTTATGCTGTACAACACGAGGATGAGGCCTTTCATGTTGATGTCTGAGAAGACATGGAAAGGCAGTTTAGTTTGAAATCAGTTTTGGATTGCAAACTTCATACAGTAAGGAGAATTAGAAAGCAGCCCAGAAACATTAGCACCTTACTATATAATCTATGGGGCAACCATAATCAAACCAAAATGCTGTTTTTGCTTGTGTTACAGCCTCTTACTACAAATCACTGGTTGTGGAAATGCATATCTAAATTTAAAATGTATATATATTTAAATACTGTACTCATGTACAGTTTGTATGAACTTTCAATTTTATGCTATTTTCTATTATTATTCCACCACATTTTGAAGGCATATATTGTACTTCACACTACAATACATTTATTTGACAGTTTTAGTTACTACTTATTCCCCTTGTTACTTTGAAAATTTTAATTATTAGTAGAAAATAAAATAAAATAAAGTAATATATTATGTCACGATATTATAGACTAAGCTACCCCGTAATCTATAGAGTAGTTACAATTAGCCACACATTTACGCTGCAACATTAAAGTAATGCATGTATTAGTTATAATCCAATAATATAATATGTATGATTCTGAAATGAATACTTTTACTTCTGGTGCTTTGAATATGTTTTGATGTTAATACTTATGTACTTTAAAGTAAAAATTTGAATGCAGACAGACTTTCACTTGTAACAGAGAATTTGCATACTTTGACATTGCTCCTGATCGAGTACTTGCCATGACAAATCCCATATACTTTTGATTACTTAAATTACTTTTTCCTAAATATTAGCATTTCTTAGATTTTAAATTTCATTTATGAAATATGAAAATTAGTCTGTCTAACATGCCAGATTATGCATTACCTCTGTCAAAGTTAATTTCATTACAGTGCCCTTTAAATATTTAAACAAACTACAGCATGGTTACAAAATGGTCAGCAGTAATATATTGTAATGCATATGACATTTGAATTTGACTAAAATGCTGATGAAGTATTTTAGTTTTCTCTCTAAATGAGTGAACTTGTTTCTGTTATATCATATTATGTTGTCTTCAAAAGGAAGAAATGTTGAGAGTTTGATAAAGTAAATCTTTTCAGATTTATCACTTACAGATTTACAGAGGTTTTTTAAGTTTCAGCCCCATCATCATATTTCCTACATTGTTTGAGGACATATTTGTGAATAGAGTTGTACAGGAGTGTTCCTGTAAACTCATGTCAAGGTGATTTTAACCCCTCAAACAGTTTACTGTATCTTTTTTAATGCATATCACATATTTTTCCATCAGAATTCAGGACAGAACCATGCAACAACACCAACTTTAAATACAGATGTTAGGTCTTCTTTGGTGTTTCAGGTTTCAAAATGAAGTATGTATAAAATCTGCCACTTACATTGTTGGTGATCTTGATATGGTCCCAAGAAGAAAATTGTTTTGATGACGATGAGATGAACGATGTGTAAATGAACTCAGAGACAATGACAGTAACTCGAATCAACTTATGTGGCTGTCTTGTTCTTACTTCTCCATTTGGACTATAATAAGAAAAGGAAGTGGTTTCAATGTTCTGTTCAATGCTGCACCAGACATCTGTGGGTTGGTAGACCATAAAAAGTTGCAGGCATGCTAAATTGCCACTGAGTAGATAGTTCTAACTCATTGATCATGAACTGTTTCATTTAAGGTTATCCGTTTTGGGTTCAGTTATGTGAGTTTTGAATCAATGCAAGTTGTCTTCTTACTGGCACCCTCGTGACATTACTGGAATAAACATGCACAAGTCTGCACAAGTGTCATCTACCTATTTTTGTCCAAACCACACTTGCTCACAGATGACTTTAATTATAGTCCATGTAAGTAATGTACCAATATTACAAGGCCTTTTGACACTAAGTAAGTTAACACCACATGTAGTGGAGTGTGTTGCAACACAACTAGTGTACATACAAGTCAAAAATAATATTTATTTGCATTGATTGCAGTTTTTTTTATATAGTTCCTCTTCTATTTCCCCGTAACTGTATGTTTGTGTTTTCCGTGTGATTTCTGTGGCGTGTCTGCACCTGTGCTTATTAGCTAAATACTTGATTTAGCAAGTTGCCTCATCCCTGCAGATGAAACCAGCAACATGCAAGTCAGGAACTACCAAACTTAAGATTCATCAATCAAAACACCCCGTGCTCCAGTAGCATACTGCATTAAAGATCATGGTGTGCCTGACGCTGCTGGTCAGCCTGCTGTGCATTTGTGATCAAGGCATTGACATCAAATATCAGTTAAGACAATCTCATCAACATGGCCATCTAAAGGAACATATTGCAAAACTGATAATAAAAAATGACAGAAATTTTCTCGCAGGGAAAATGTTCAGACTAGTTTGAATTACCACTCAAATCAGTGCTGACAATATCAGACAGCATCTTCTTATTCAGACAGAAGGGTGGAGGCAAGGTTGCAAGATTACTGCCAAGTAGTGTTGTAACTTGTGTAAGAAGTGGATATCCTGTTGTAATACACAATATAAACTCCACACTGCCCTTGATTTAATCTGATAAATGAGAAAAGCATCATAATGTCACATTCTGCATCACTCACAGTCCCTTCAGCCACATTCCCACTTCCTCAAACCCATTCATTGACATTGCTTTCTCCTGTCCATCAGATACCCTATGACTTTTTCTCCTGTCCCACTCATTCACCTGCTTCCCATTTCCTCTAATCAGCCCAGTAATACATACAATTGACATTTCTATGTTCCAAAGTAAATGCTCTGTACTTGTATAGCGCCTTTCTAGTCTTTTCGACCACTCAAAGCGCTTTTACTCTACATCTGCATTCACACACATTCATCCACTGAGCCTAAGTGCTCAAACAGAAAGTAACATTCAAACACAGTTCGGGGTTCAGTATCTTGCCAAAGGATACTTCGACATGCAGCCTGGAGGAGCCAGGGATTGAACCGATGACCTTCCGATTGACGGGCAACCCGCTCTACCTCCTGCCTTTCAAACCACAGGAACATGAACCTTACCCTGACTCTGACCCTGTACCTTAAAATATCTGTCTGACTGCTTGGCATTAAAGGAACCGCTCTAAGCTGGTTTAAGTCCTATTTATCAGATCGATTTCAGTTTGTACATGTAAACAATGCGTCCTCCATGCATGCCAAAGTTAGTCATGGAGTTCCACAAGGATCTGTGCTCGGACCAATCCTGTTCACTTTATATATGCTTCCTTTAGACAGTATTATCAGGAAACACTCCATAAACTTTCATTGTTATGCAGATGATACTCAATTATATCTATCGATCAAGCCAGATGAAACTAATCAGTTAGCTAAACTCCAAATGTGCCTTCAGGATGTTAAAACCTGGATGACCTGTAATTTTCTAATGTTAAACTCAAATAAAACTGAAGTCATTGTTCTGGCGCCCAAGCACCTCCATGACGCATTATCTAAAGATATAGTTTCCCTTGATGGCACCGCCCTGGCCTCAAGTACCACTGTGAGGAATCTTGGAGTTATCTTTGATCAGGACATGTCGTTTAAGTCTCATATTAAGCAAATTTCAAGGACTGCCTTTTTTCACCTACGTAATATTGCAATAATCAGGAACATCCTGTCTAAAAATGATGCAGAAAAACTAGTCCATGCACTTGTTACTTCTAGGCTGGATTATTGCAATTCCCTATTATAAGGCCGCTCGAAAAAGTCCATTCAGCTGATCCACTGACAGGAACCAGGAAAAGAGATCATATTTCTCCTGTTTTAGCTTCTCTGCATTGGCTTCCTGTAAAACCCAGAATAGAATTTAAAATCATTCTTCTTACATAAAAAGCTCTTAATGGTCAGGCACCATCTTATCTTAAAGAGCTCATAGTACCTTACTACCCCACCAGAGCACTGCGCTCCCAGAATGCAGGGTTACTTGTGGTTCCTAGAGTCTCCAAAAGTAGACTAGGAGCCAAAGCGTTCAGCTATCAAGCTCCTCTCCTGTGGAACCAGGTTCCAGTTTGGGTTCAGGAGGCAGACACCATCTCCACATTTAAGAGTAGGCTTAAGACTTTCCTCTTTTTTTAAAGCTTATAGTTAGGGCTGGCTCAGGTGAGTCCTGAACCATCCCTTAGTTATGCTGCTATAGGCCTAGACTGCCAGGGGATTTCCCATGATGCACTGAGCTCCTTTCTCTTCTTTCTCTCCATCTGTATGCAACCTCCTCCCATTAATGCATGTTACTAACTTGACTTCTTCCCTTTCCCGTAGTCTTGTGCTTTCTCGTCCCTCTCCTCTCTCCTCCTATCACTCTCTGCGGGTGTTTCTGGGTCTGGAGCTGTGGAGTCTGAATTTGTGGTTGTGAGTCACCTGCTGCCCCTGTGTAACTAATCGACACCCTCTGCTACAATTATTGTTACTAGTTCTATTGTTATTATTATTATTATTATCTTGTCTCCCTCCCTCCCTCTTTCTCTGTCTCTTTCTCACACCCAGCTGGTCGAGGCAGATGGCCGCCCACCCTGAGCCATGGTTCTGCTCGAGGTTTCTGCCTTTTAAAAGGAAGTTTTTCCTTGCCTCTGTTGCCTAGTGCTTGCTCTTGGTGGGAATTGTTGGGCTTCTGTAAATAACATCACAGAGTATGGTCTACACCTGCTCTTCCATGAAAAGCGCTCTGAGACTTTTGTTGTGATTTGACGCTACATAAATAAAATTGAAATGAATTGAAAACTGCTTGCCTGCTTGCAGGCACTTACCTGTAAGCCTGTAAATACTTGCATTTGGGTCCTATCTCTGTAGCTTCTCTCACACCAGCCGCAACACATCAGGCTAATTATGTGTGAGAGGAAGTGAGAACTGAACAAAGACAGATGACTTATTCGGAAAAAAAACCCCATGCAGTCCCTTGAGCAATGGAAAGTCCCATTTAAATAGCACCAAGAAAGATAGAAAGGCATTAAGAACGTTAGAAAAGAAACGTATAGTAAGGATTTAAGAAAGAGTAAAACAAAAATAAAATGGAAAAAAGATAAAATTGAATCAGACAAATCAAACAGTAGAATAAAACACAGATGTGTTACAGTGAGGAGCAAGATATTAATAATTGGCCCCAAGTTTAACTTAAATTGCAGTGGCAAAAAAAGCCTGATTTAAAAGAGATGAGAGTTGGAGCAGAACTCATGTTTTCTGGTATCCAACGAAGGTTAAAGTCAAGGGCAACTGGACTTGGTTGAAGATACTGGAAGACGTGTACCGGTGGCCAAGACTGAACGACCATCTTTGGTATCTTCACCCGGTGAAGGTGCACAGGTGAAGATACCAACGATGGTCGTTCAGTCTTGGCCACCGGTAGTCCTAACGATTGTAATGACTGTCGTTACAGCAACCAGGAACATCCTTTGGATGAGGGACGAAACGTCTTCCAGTTGACTGACTGGATGACTGAGAATCTTCATAGACATGTTTTCTGGTAGTTTGTTATAGGTGGTGCATAAAAATGGAACGCTGCTTCTCCGTGTTTAGTTTGACCTATCGTAAACTATTTGAGAGGTCTGGACAGTTCATAATGGAGCAGCAGATCAGAAATGTTTTTCGGCCCCAAACCATTATGTGCTTTATAAACCAACAGCAGTATTTTTAAATATTTTTTTTGAACAGGAAGCTGTGAGAACTGGAGGGAGGTGATCTGCTCTTCTGGTCTTAGTGAGGACTCTAGCAGCATTGTCTTGAATCAGCCGCAGCTGTCTGATTGACTTTTTAGAGAGAGCTGTGAAGTCAGCGCTACAGTATTCGAGCCTGCTGAAGATAAACGCATGCCCAAGATTTTCTAAATCCTGCTGAGCCATAAGTGAGAAAAAACACATCACAATCAATAATAATCAATCAAACATAATAAGCTGGAGAGGAATTGTACACCTGGGATCTAGGGGTCATAGCAGTGAGTATATAATATCACAGAAAATAGTACTTACCTGGATATATTTTGGATCTTTGGTCTTTAATGTTTGTGATTGACTTTTAATCATTCTTCTTTGGTTGATGGTAAAATATTTTGTGGTTTGTGCTCTAGTGGAAATATGCAGATGCTTGGGAACTCCACATTATTTTGTACGCCCTACCCTAACCCTTTAAATAGGATTAAAACCCGTTTAACATTGAGCCAGTTTTCCAGTCTGCCTAGTAAGGTGCTGTGGTTGACCACATTGAATGCAGCACTGAGATCTAATAACACCAAGACTGAAACTGAAACTGACTGATGTTGTGGTGTAATCAAAATCCTGGCAGCATCAAAACTATTGTTTGGGGTCAACAGCCTTTTTCAATGATTTTGCTTAAAAATGGGAGTTTTGATGTGGGCCTGTAATTGTTCATTGGTGAGATGTCTAGATTTTTCTTTTTTAACAGTGGCTTAATAACTGCAGTTTTCATGCAAATTCATTGCATGATTCCTGGGATAAAAGTCCGGGGGTGCTATTGACACACTAGGGTTTTTCAGCCTGTCAACATTAGCAAATAAGGCATATACATTATTATTGTTCTAAAAATGCAATAAAA